ATCACCCCCCTCCCCCCCATTCTGTGAGTGGAAATGCCAGAGTTTGATAAGGGGCGACAACTGACCAGCTAAGATGTTTGTTTACAGGCTGGTAGCGCTAGCTTAAGCTGGTAGTGGCGAGCTAATTGGTGTGTGGTCATGTTCCAAGTGGTAGGTCACCACACAGGGACTTATCAAAACCACGCCACACGGGCAAGACACCCCCCACACACACGGGCAAGACCCCCACATGAACAAGAACCCCACCCACACACACACACAGACAAGACCCCCACACGGACAAGACCCCCCACACGAACAAGACCCCCGCCCCTCACACGGAAAAGACCCCCCCCCCCCCCTACATTGAATTATCAAGACCACTACATAGGTAAGACAATAAAAACCATACATCTAGAGAAAACCACATCGCATTGACAAAATCACCCTACCTACACAAAATCCACCTCACCTCGAAAAAAACCCACCTCAACTTTTCGCCGAATCTTGACTAACTGGCCGCCAAGGGACAAAACCACCTCTAGGGAGTCAACAGGAATTTATTTGTCCCGCCCAGCAATTGTCCCGCTCACCATTGTCCCGATCAGCACCCGTTGTGATGACGTCACACGGGGGACCAATTAACGTAAGCCGATTATCTTTAAACGCTTTTAACCGCTTATAATCCCCGAACGCCATCAATAAAACCTAGCTAAGCCTGCCGATAAAAAAACGCCTTCAAACATTCAAATTTTCTCGGGACCAGGTTTGAAGGGGCTGACATGGGCATCAAATATTGACAGCACTTGCTGTCTATGTCATGCTGGGCTAATTACACGGGAGTCACGTGGTTGAACGTCGCGGACGCACAATACAGGAATCATTAATCTTATGTCATGTAAATGCTAAATGAAATCATATATTAATCAAATCTTATATAGGAATAAATGTCATATCAAAAAAGATCTCAAAAAACTTTCACACGATAGCGCTATAGATCAGACAGACAGTAAGAGAGGCAGACAGAGGGACAAACAGACAGACAGACAGACTGATGGACGGACCGACAGACAGACAACAGGAGTTGATCAAATCAGATTCATGTGCCACTCCTGTAGAGTTGATCAAAACAGATTCATGTGCCACTCCTGTAGAGTTGATCAAATCAGATTCATGTGCCACTCCTGTAGCTGTAGTTGATCAAATCAGATTCATGTGCCACTCCTGTAGAGTTGATCAAATCATTTGCCACTCCTGTAGCTGTAGTTGATCAAATCAGATTCATGTGCCACTCCTCTAGAGTTGATCAAATCAGATTCATGTGCCACTCCTGTCGAGTTGATCAAATCAGATTCATGTGCCACTCGTGTAGAGTTGATCAAATCAGATTCATGTGCCACTCCTGTAGCTATAGTTGATCAAATCAGATTCACGTGCCACTCCTGTAGCTGTAGTTGATCAAATCAGATTCATGTGCCACTCCTGTAGAGTTGATCAAATCAGATTCATGTGCCACTCCTGTAGCTGTAGTTGATCAAAACAGATTCATGTGCCACTCCTGTAGCTGTAGTTGATCAAATCAGATTCACGTGCCACTCCTGTAGCTGTAGTTGATCAAATCAGATTCATGTGCCACTCCTGTAGAGTTGATCAAATCAGATTCATGTGCCACTCCTGTAGCTGTAGTTGATCAAAACAGATTCATGTGCCACTCCTGTAGAGTTGATCAAATCAGATTCATGTGCCACTCCTGTAGCTGTAGTTGATCAAATCAGATTCATGTGCCACTCCTGTAGAGTTGATCAAATCAGATTCATGTGCCACTCCTGTAGAGTTGATCAAATCAGATTCATGTGCCACTCCTGTAGCTGTAGTTGATCAAATCAGATTCATGTGCCACTCCTGTAGAGTTGATCAAATCAGATTCATGTGCCACTCCTGTAGAGTTGATCAAATCAGATTCATGTGCCACTCCTGTAGCTGTAGTTGATCAAATCAGATTCATGTGCCACTCCTGTAGAGTTGATCAAATCAGATTCATGTGCCACTCCTGTAGAGTTGATCAAATCAGATTCATGTGCCACTCCTGTAGCTGTAGTTGATCAAATCAGATTCATGTGCCACTCCTGTAGAGTTGATCAAATCAGATTCATGTGCCACTCCTGTAGAGTTGATCAAATCAGATTCATGTGCCACTCCTGTAGCTGTAGTTGATCAAATCAGATTCATGTGCCACTCCTGTAGAGTTGATCAAATCAGATTCATGTGCCACTCCTGTAGAGTTGATCAAATCAGATTCATGTGCCACTCCTGTAGCTGTAGTTGAGTGCTGATTCATGTGCCACTCCTGTAGCTGTAGTTGAGTGTTGATTCACGTGCCACTCCTGTAGCTGTAGTTGAGTGCTGATTCATGTGCCACTCCTGTAGCTGTAGTTGAGTGCTGATTCACGTTTCATTTGCTCGGGTTTGGCCAGGGGTCCATGACAGAGGCTGGGGGGGGGGGGGGGTGGCAGAGGTGCTGTTGTGGAAGTTGAGACCTCACCAGGAGGGGAAGAAAAATAGGGAAAGAATGGGGAGCTGGGGGGGGGGGGGTGGAGGGTATAGTCCTCTCGGGTGTGCTGAACTTAGAATACGAAGAAACTGTAACTGTATATTTGGCTAGTGTCTGGCTTTTATCTGGCTTGTATCTGGCTAGTATCTGGCTAGTATCTGGCTAGTATCTGGCTAGTATCTGGCTAGTATCTGGCTAGTATCTGGCTTGTATCTGGCTAGTATCTGGCTTGTATCTGGCTAGTATCTGGCTAGTATCTGGCTACTATCTGGCTAGTATCTGGCTAGTATCTGGCTAGTATCTGGCTAGTATCTGGCTTGTATCTGGCTAGTATCTGGCTTGTATCTGGCTAGTATCTGGCTAGTATCTGGCTACTATCTGGCTAGTATCTGGCTAGTATCTGGCTAGTATCTGGCTAGTATCTGGCTACTATCTGGCTAGTATCTGGCTAGTATCTGGCTAGTATCTGGCTAGTATCTGGCTAGTATCTGGCTATCAGTCTAAAAATAGTGTCGGCTCTTCACATCAGACACTAGAGGTTACATACCAGCTACTGAAACATACCGACACATACACACCATTGTGCACGCACATATTGGCCTACATTCTGACACACATACACACCATTGTGCACGCACATATTGGCCTACATTCTGACACACATACACACCTCTGTGCACGTACACATCAGCAAGAACTGGGTTCTGAAGTGACCTCTGACCTCCTGACATTTCTCTGGCACATTTCTGGCACAAAACAATGGGGTCAATCATTTCTAACGGGCTATCAATACTTTGTAACGGGCATCGAATGTTTACAAGTTCGGCTCTCTTTAGATGTACACCATCCCTCTACCTTCTTCCTCCAGCCCTACCCCACCTCTCTACCACCCCACCTCTTCCTATCCTCTCCTCCTACCCCCCCCCCCCCCCAAAACCACATTTCTCTTTCTCCTTATAGCTACCTCCCTTATCCACTCTCACCTCTACCTCACTCAACAATCCACCCTTAACACCAATCCACCCTTAACACCAATCCACCCTTAACACCAATCCACCCTTAACACCAATCCACCCTTAACACCAATCCACCCTTAACACCAATCCACCCTTAACACCAATCCACCTTTAACACCAATCCACCCTGAACACCAAACCACCCTTAACACCAATCCACCTTTAACACCAAACCACCTTCGTACACATATATCTTTCACCGCTACATCACAATCAAATATACACCTCCCATAATGTGATGTAAAATTAGAGAGGAACAAGGGATAAAAACAAGACGATAGAAAACTGGTAAGCTGACAGGCAGAGCAGCGGCTACCCCCCCCCCCCCACCCCAATGGAATTATGGAATTTATACAGGAAACATATACTTTTACCAGAGTCTGCCCTCCCCGGAAAATGTAGTCCGCCCGTCTCCAGAAAGTATCAAGAGCCCCCCCCCCCCCCCCCCCCGTTGGAGAAAATGTTTAGAAAAAACACTGAGCATTGTCGCCAAATTCTGCTGTAAAGCTGTTGTGTAGAGCGGTGTATCATGTTGTGGACAGATACAGTTGTAAAGTTGATGTTATAATAGACGGATACAGTTGTAAAGATGATGTTATAAACATATACAGTTGTAAAGATGATGTTATAAACATATACAGTTGTAAAGATGATGTTATAAACATATACAGTTGTAAAGATGATGTTATAAACATATACAGTTGTAAAGATGATGTTATAAACATATACAGTTGTAAAGATGATGTTATAAACATATACAGTTGTAAAGTTGATGTTATAATAGACGGATACAGTTGTAAAGATGATGTTATAAACATATACAGTTGTAAAAATGATGTTATAAACATATACAGTTGTAAAAATGATGGTATGGACAGCTGCAAAGCCACAGACATTTCTCACAGGTAAATCACTTTAATCGATTTCTTGAGTATCGATATTTTGAAAGTCAACTAGACATTTCTTTGTTCTCGAACGTTCCATTAAACACCGCGAGACCGCGAGACTCTAAGTTTGAGCTGTACATTGAAAGATTCGCCAGGACAGAGTTGTCTCTTGACGTGGCTGGTGTACACATGTAGACTGAAGCTGACTAGACTGCGGGGCGAAATTAACGCTCAAATATCAGATTTAGCTCACTCACCGAGTGGAGCAATACAACATCTTTAGATAGATTTATGTACAACAAATTGTAGAACGACATCAAATACTTGACACAATGGTAGGACGGCATCAAATAATTGACACAATGGTAGGACGGCATCAAATACTTGACACCAAATTTTCTCAAATTGATGGCACGCGCGAGTAGAAGCTTTAATTGTCTTATCTTCTTACAATGTAATCTAACCCATCTAGCTATAAATAGATTCACGAGCCAAAACAAGTGTGTCAACTTGTATTGAATGTTTGCTTAGAGAGTTTATTTAACTGTAACCATTAAAAAAACTCACGTCTGATGTCACGTGATGCCCGTCTCTCACTCACTGGGCGGTCCACGGAATTTGTAGTCCAATAATTTTATGGTCCACTAGAAACAGTTGAGGCGTATCCTGCGTCACAACACATTTGGTCAGGTCCGTCTCACGGTGTCCAGCTGCTGACAATCTAGTACACCTAGCGAACTTGGGCCCCTAAAGATGGGTACCTTGTGTCGACATCTAGCGAACTCTGGGCCCCTAAGGATGGGCCCACGGCCGTGGAGAAACGTGTGATACAGCCGCCAATGGCAGAAAGGCCAGGCTTGATCAAGTTTTTCACACCATAGGGTGGGGGTGTGGGGGTGTGAGTGGTGGTGTGGTGGTGTTGGGTGGTTAGTGGGATGGTGTGGTTTGGTAACTTGGTTTAGAGGTGTGGGGTGTTGTAGTGGGGTGGTGGTGTGGTGTGTTGGTGTAACGGTGTAATATGGGGTGGCGTGGTATGGTGGTGTGGTGTGGTGTGGGGAGGTGGGGAGGTGGGGCGGGTTTTTTGTGTAGTAGTGTGGTGTGGGGTAGTAGTGTGGTGTGGGGTAGTAGTGTGGTGTGGGGTAGTAGTGTGGTGTGGTGTCGGTGGTAGTGGTTTGAGTTTGTGGTGTGTAGTATACCAAAGATGGCCAAGAACAAAGAAGATGGCCAAGAACAAAGAAGATGGCCATCTCCTACCCGTATAATTAGTCGTTCGAGACTTCAGATTAGTTCAAAAGGCGTCCCGCAATTTGAACAGGTACAGGGTGTGCAAACATGCCCCAACCTTGGCCTAATCAAACATGCAACCATCCCCCTTCAAGACCTCATGTATACGTTTACTCGGACCCTTTGTACCCGTACATTCTTCTAGATCAAATGACAAGAGGAAACCTGGCATTTAGATGACACGGATGTCACATACGTGCAGTTAGTTGATGGAAATATGTCAGGGTTTCAGACAGTAATGACAGACGTAGAACGTAGGCTGACGTTAGAACGTCGCAAACAACGTCGCTAGTCACGTATGGCGAGAATAGAACAGTGACGTCACGTATGGCGAGATTAGAACAGTGACGTCACGTATGGCAAGATTAGAACAGTGACGTCACGTATGACAAGATTAGAAGAGTGACGTCACAACTCTCGTCTGACGAGATTGGCCTCACACACGATAGTCTCGAACACAAATTGTCGTGTTTGTTCCTGGTGCTAACTCTAATGTCATCAGGCAAGGGAAGCTATCCGACATAGATCTGCTTGCATGTCAGCCAGCAGTTGCCGTTCCTGAATACCCACCTCATTAATCTGACGACTCCATTGAACTCAGCCTATCAATTGCCCTTTCAAGTCATTTAATTGGCTCTTTCGTTTTTATAGGATTTATATTCAAACTTAAAGCATGTTAAAATTATTTTTTTTTTAAATTTAAAACTTGAGGCATGTTGAAATTAGGTTCTTATTTAAACTTAATGCATGAAAAAATTAGCTTTTAAACATTTTTTTTTTAAATCATGTTAAAATTAGATTTTTATTTAAACGTTAGGCTTGGTAAAAATAAGTTTTTTATTCAAACTTAAAGAAGTTAAAGTTAGTTTATAGGTTTTGATCCGAACAGATAATAAATAAGAGAATGTAAGAACCTTTATTACCAGTAGGCATTCGGGGAAACATTGGACACATCTCGAGGATTGACACTGTGTCCGGGTGTGTCTGTGTGTGTGTCTATATGAATCTGTGTGTGTGTCTGTGTGTGTGTCTGTGTGTGTTTGTGTGTGTCTGTGTGTGTGTCTGTGTGTGTGTCTGTGTGTGTTGGTGTGTGTGTGTCTGTGTGTGTCTGGGTGTGTGTGAGTCTGTGTGTGTGTGAACATGATAACTTAAGCTGTGCTTCGGTTAGCTGAACCAAATTTCACATAGAGGGTCTATAAGTATTATATCGTATGCGTGGGTTATCACCGACTTTTGAGCGATTTCCGATAACCAAAAGTGACACATTATTCCGTTTCTCGTTTCCTAAAAAACCTTCATAATTTTTGAATTTTAAATCATTTTCTCACAAAGCGGTACATTCTAGACCTTCCACCTCCAAGTTTGCTCGAAAAACGAAATGTTGTGTCAAAAACTTACCATTTCTATAGACCGATACCATAGTGCCATCCCAACCCTTGCTCTTAAATAAGAATATACGAGAAAGTTTAGGGGAGCTAACTCCACGTTTTTAAATTTAGATTTATAGAAAGTTAATTCTAGACAGACAATGACAGAGTTTCAGACCACGACTGCATTAATATTATAGTTCTAGCAGCCGATGTGGAGCGATCTGTTTGAATAAGAAATGTGACTCTCCGATGGACAAAGTTGAAATCAGCTTACATCTAACACGACTAGAGTTGCCGTTCTTACAACTACGATCCAAATTTACATTGAAGCCGCGGCCCTTTAATTTCTTGAAATTTTTTTGGAGCAAGTTTTTTTGCTGAACACAGAGGTAGTAACATCTGACCAGGGGAAGAGCAGGTCCTGTATACAGTGAGCAGGTCCTGTAGACAGTGAGCAGGTCCTGTAGACAGTGAGCAGGTCCTGTAGACAGTGAGCAGGTCCTGTAGACAGTGAGCAGGTCCTGTAGACAGTGAGCAGGTCCTGTAGACAGTGAGCAGGTCCTAGTGAGCAGGTCCTGTAGACAGTGAGCAGGTCCTGTAGACAGTGAGCAGGTCCTGTAGACAGTGAGCAGGTCCTGTAGACAGTGAGCAGGTCCTGTAGACAGTGAGCAGGTCCTGTAGACAGTGAGCAGGTCCTGTAGACAGTGAGCAGGTCCTGTAGACAGTGAGCAGGTCCTGTAGACAGTGAGCAGGTCCTGTAGACAGTGAGCAGGTCCTGTAGACAGTGAGCAGGTCCTGTAGACAGTGAGCAGGTCCTGTAGACAGTGAGCAGGTCCTGTAGACAGTGAGCAGGTCCTAGTGAGCAGGTCCCGTAGACAGTGAGCAGGTCCTGTAGACAGTGAGCAGGTCCTGTAGACAGTGAGCAGGTCCTGTAGACAGTGAGCAGGTCCTGTAGACAGTGAGCAGGTCCTAGTGAGCAGGTCCCGTAGACAGTGAGCAGGTCCTGTAGACAGTGAGCAGGTCCTGTAGACAGTGAGCAGGTCCTGTAGACAGTGAGCAGGTCCTGTAGACAGTGAGCAGGTCCCGTAGACAGTGAGCAGGTACTGTAGACAGTGAGCAGGTCCTGTAGACAGTGAGCAGGTCCTAGTGAGCAGGTCCTGTCTAGTGACGTCAGCTGATGTAGGTAAACAAACAGGGCAAGACGAGTGACGTCACCTGAGCTGTCCCACAAAGTATTGGCGTTTATGTCGCCGTGTCAACACAGCCCCCACCCCCCACCCCCCACCCCCACAAAACGACCATCTCGAGTCAACACTGGTTAACAAACTAAAAGCACGTGCACAAAATCTGCTCACGAATGTTGTTTTCCCATCATGCAGGCGGCCATACAACTCAACATGTACACAATGATGTACAACAGTACAGTACTTAGTACACAGCTACACCATCATTACAGTACTTAGTACATGCCAACACCAGCATTACAGTACAACAGTACAGTACTTAGTACACAGCTACACCATCATTACAGTACTTAGTATATGTCAACACCATCATTACAGTACTCAGTAGTACACAGTAGTACACAGACACACTCACACTCGCGTGGGCGCATATAGACACACACAAATAGACACACAGACACATACACAAACATGATAGAACAACTGTAACCAATTCAATCTTTAAAGCTTCTACGTATTCCCGTCATTTCTGGAAATTTTTTTTGTAGCACCAACCATTATGTGATGTTACCACACATCATCACGTGATGTCACCACACATCATCATGTGATGTTAACACACATCATCATGTGATGTCACCACACATCATCACGCGATGTCACCACACATCATCACGCGATTTTACCACACATCATCATATGATGTCACCACACATCATCACGCGATGTCACCACACATCATCATATGATGTTACCACACATCATCAAGTGATGTTATCAGAAACCATCTTGTGATATTCAAAACAATGGACACTAACATATATAGAATTATAGCTCAACACAATTGAGTAAAGTCGATTTACTTTTTCTTGTGTTTAAATACAGCGAACAGACGCTTGCTAACGCAAGGCCAATAGTAGAAAGCCGATGTTTAATTAAAGAAGGCCGATGTTTAATTAAAGAAGGCCGATGTTTGATTAGAGAAGCTCGATGTTTGATTAGAGAAGGCCGATGTTTGATTAAAGAAGGCCGATGTTTGATTAAAGAAGGCCGATGTTTAATTAAAGAATGCCGATGTTTGATTAAAGAAGGCCGATGTTTGATTAAAGAAGGCCGATGTTTAATTAAAGAAGGTCGATGTTTAATTAAAGAAGGCCGATGTTTAATTAAAGAAGGCCGATGTTTAATTAAAGAAGGCCTATGTTTAATTAAAGAAGGCCTATGTTTACTAACAGATGTTTGATTACAGAAGGCCGATGTTTGATTAGAGAAGACCGATGTTTGATTAAAGAAGGCCGATGTTTGATTAGAGAAGGCCGATGTTTGATTAGAGAAGACCGATGTTTGATTAGAGAAGACCGATGTTTGATTAAAGAAGGTCGATGTTTGATTAGAAGAGGCCTATGTTTACTAACAGATGTTTGATTAGAGAAGGTCGATGTTTGATTACAGAAGGCCGATGTTTGATTAGAGAAGACCGATGTTTGATTAAAGAAGGCCGATGTTTGATTAGAGAAGGCCGATGTTTGATTAGAGAAGACCGATGTTTGATTAGAGAAGACCGATGTTTGATTAAAGAAGGTCGATGTTTGATTAGAAGAGGCCTATGTTTACTAACAGATGTTTGATTAGAGAAGGTCGATGTTTGATTAGAGAAGGTCGATGTTTGATTAGAGAAGGTCGATGTCTATTAAAGAAGGTCGATGTTTGATTAGAGAAGGCCGATGTTTGATTAAAGAAGGCCGATGTTTGATTAGAGAAGGTCGATGTTTGATTAGAGAAGGCCGATGTTTGATTAGAGAAGGTCGATGTTTGATTAGAGAAGGCCGATGTCTATTATAGAAGGCCGATGTTAACTTGATATTCTCCAACCCCGTGAAGTACCGCTAGCGACAAACTATGGAACAAAAGTTGAAAAAAAAGAAGAAAAAAA